TTCATTATATCGTCTCCCATTATGTATTAGAATTTTTTACTAAATTAGAGTATTCTTTAAATTACAAATTATAGACTAAAAAGATTCGAAACATTAAAAATAATTTCTATTTATAAAGAATTACTTTAATATCAACGACTCTTTAAGCGCGCCTATCATATATTATTAAATATATACACGTGCATATGTACGTAGAAAATGAATAAATTAAGTGAAAAATATATCGTATTAATTACAAAACTGTTCGTCTGCCGAATACACTGGGACGGTAGCAGCAGCAGATAACTCACATCTGCTATTGATTATTATAGAAAAAAGTAACTAAATTGTTCAATGTAATCCTACACAGCGATAAGCGCGTGTAAGTTCTTTTTAGTAATAATCAATAAAATTACCGTATCCACTGTAGTCGTAACCACCATAGCCGCCGTACCCACCGCCGTAATAATCGTAGCCTCCTCCGTATCCATCATAGCCACCGCCATAACCGCCTTGACCGTATCCACCGCCGTATCCACCTCCGTAACCGCCTTGGCCCCAACCGCCTTGACCGCCAAAGCCGCGTCCTCTGCCTCCCCTACCGCCACGGCCACCGCGACCTCCGGCACCGCCTCGCATACCACCCATACCGTCTGGTTTAGGTGTCGCCTTCTTCACATCGACCTAATTAACACAATCGAATAGGGTAACTTATTTCCGCACCAACATAAAACCTTTCGTTCAGTTATCTCAAATTAAAATCTTATTCAATTATTCAATTCATCAGCATTAAACCTACCTCTTTACCGTTAATCGTCTGCTTGGGAGTTTTCAGTAATTCATTGACGACTTGTTCAGATTCGAAAGTGATGAAACAGAAACCTTTCCTCTGATTCTTTGTCTTGTCAAATGGCATTTCTGCTTCTACGATCTGTAACAACAGATATTTTATTCTCGCGCGTCTTAGAAGTAATTTTTTATGTGGCGTGAGGACAGTGATATGCTTACCGTTCCAAACTGAGAAAAGAAATTTTTAATATCCTCATCTGATAATTCTGTTGAAAGACCGCCAACAAATATCTTGCCATGCCTAGCCTTTGCTTTCTTAGGGTCAACTTTCTTATTATTGATTATATGATCTCCAGCTTGCATGATCTGAAAAGAGAAAACTTCCGTCAGATTTCGAATAATTTATAATTGTTACATTTGACTGATTATAATTTAGTTTCAGAAGTGGAAATATCTTCACATAAACTCAGTAGCAGAACTGGAAATAAGTATCATCACAATGGAATAGTTTTTGCCTCGATGTGTAAAGAAACTGGTTTATTATAGTACCTTATCGAGCGATTCCGCCTTTGCAAAAACAATGAAGGCAAACCCTCGCGACCGTCCGGTGTTAGGATCTGTTTTGACATTAATACTCTCAATGTCTCCATATCTGCCAAAGTGATCCCTCAGTTCCTCTGAAAATAAAGGGATACGATTAAGGATATTAAATTTTGTAATACATTACTTTAATCAATTGTGACAGAATTAAATGGATACGAAAGCTCAGTACTAAATTTTTCTCATAAGACTTATGTCCTCAGTAGGTGTCCTAAGGTTCTTTATCATCATAGCTTGTACAAATAAGAATTTAATTTTATAGAATAAAAGATACTCACTGTCCGTAGTTTCCCAGCTCAATCCACCGACAAACAATTTCCTATAAAAAATAAGAAGAAAATATTTAAATTATGCTTAACGAATTTGTATTAAGGTTTAGTTTCAATAAAACAATGAATTTCGAAAATTTACGTAAAGATATAACTGAAGGAAGAAAATGATATTTGTGCCCGATAATGGAATAGTAATAGAACTTTACTGTTCGATCTCTATAATTTGTACACTAGTACCG